TTGGTAAAAAAAAATATGTAACCTCATATTTTAAATTCTTTCACTTGAAAACAACTTACATTAGGCGGAGTGTAAATCAATGCTGTTGGGTTTGCTTCAATGGGCATATTGGCAGTCGGAGGAAGAATATTCATTACAGGTAATTTAGGACTTTGTTCCTGAAATAAAGTAAACCGAGTTGTACAAAAAGACCTGCATAAAAAGAAACGTATATCTGAAAAACAATTTCAGAGATTCCCTACCGCATATCTTTCCGACTCCGCACTGAAGTTTAATGAACTCAACAACATCGGCTGCACTTTTCCATCACTAGGGGGTTCTTGCTGAGTTAAAAAAGAATCAAACTGATCGGAGCCTACAACTGATGCCGCCACATTACTGGCTTAAAAATGCAAAAAAAAGCTATTGATTCTTTTGGTGCGTCAATAAACCAACTTCCGAATTTACCGGTGGGAACAGTAAAAGCATCATAAACAGCCTGACGCCGTGGAAATTCCTCTGATCCTGTCCTTGTAAAAGTTTCACTGCTTCGCGCCCTTGACAAGGCAGCAGCACTATGCGGCCGTGGAAGCTCATCAACTGCCTGAATACTGATTATCTCCTATTGCATTTTGATAAGAATAATAAGGATACTTGAAATTGCCCGAAAAAACGAGGAATAAAACAGAAAAAGCTCTCTGAACAAACTTCGTATGTATTGCGGCTCTCAATTCAAACAAAAAAAAAAAAGAGCAACATTTTTTGCTAAACCAGTGACCCCAAATCATGAAAAACTAACGATTTTGAAAAAGAAGAAACTTATACAGAATGAATTCCTACCGCAGCTAACTCGGCTTGTCCAACCGGCTGCGCCACATTTATTTGACCAGATACCTGAAAAAAACCAATGAAAATAGCTAAATGAAAAGATTAAGTGTTGGTAAGGTAAATGAAAATAAAAAAACTTCCATGAATTCCTGCTTGTCCCAGAAAAAAAATAAACCAGAAAACAATGCCAATTCAGCTTCAAATTAACTAATGCTACAGAACAATCTTCTATGACGACAGATTTAAATAGAAAGCTAATGTATCCTCGCATCAAGGAAAAAATTTATTAGTGAACTACATAACTACAAAAAAAGCATTAACTGAAAAAGGTGTCCTTCATTTCTAGAAATCTCAATTTATTAGTATTTGTCACAGAAGAAAATTCATTTCCGGAATTTTATCAAGGAGCAATTGTAACTTAACGCGAAACAACTTCCCTGCGATTTTTGAGACCATATTTTACTCACTGTTTTGAAAATGCCTTCACTTTCCTATTCGCCGTAGTCTGTTTTTACCACTCATACTTCCAACTTTTCAATCCTTACTCACACCAAAAAATTTTAATTTTGAAACTTTTGCATTCTGAATAATCTATATTCGTTTTCGCTACTTTTGCGGCTAAGTGGTAAAAACAACTTCGCATATATTGCAGCGCACCCCTCTCACTTCATTTATTGAAATAAAAATGCATTTTTTAAAAAAATGACATTCTTCGAATAACAAATTTTTTCCTCGGTAATTCACACCACTAATAAATAAACTTGAAGATCATAAGACTATTATACAGTAAAATTTTAGTACGATGCGAAGGTATAGATAACCCCTGCCTAAAAATCAAAACACTAGATAGAAATGTAGCAGTTCCTTTGACCTTTATTGTAAAAAAAGACTTAAAAAGGTGCACGGTGCCATGCAGTGGAATCACGAACCTACTGTGATGATTAATACTTAAAAAAACGGCCACAATGATATGACTAACCTGAATAGAAGGATCAACAGGCCTACGATATTTTTGGGCAAGAACTCCAGTTCCATTCGTTTTAGCACCAAGGTTTATCGGAGGATCATTCCACCCAGGAGTAACAGTTGGAGGTAATGGAGACGAGTATGACATCAAAACAACTATGGGACTTACAAATTAATAAAATAAAACCCTGAAAAATAACAATGACCAAGATTGCATAGCAAAGGTACATTAGTACCCAGTCCAAAACCTATTAAAAGTTTCAGACTAGTAGTTGACGGACTCCATTTTCCTAAAAATCCTGTAAGCAGTCAATAACACAGAAAACAATCCATCGTACGTAGTAAGTGAACCTGATAAGTATTGAAAAAAAAAAAAAAA